TCATTTGAACATTTTCTTCACATTTCGCAGTGTCTATTATTTATTGTGGTCCTTATTTACACTTTTGGTTTTGTACTTTTTTTGTGTGTGTGTGCCAGGGATCGAACTCGGGACCTTGCCCTTGCGAGGCAGGCGCTGGAACCACTGAGCTAAATCCCCGGGGCTACACTTTTGGTTTTTAACACCAGGAAAACAATGTGGTATTTAAACATGTGTATCCGATTTAAGGAAAGGTTTATTTGACTCACAGTTGTTTTTCTTTCTTTTCTTTTTTTTGGTACCAAGGATCGAACTTGAGTCCTTGTGCTTGCGAGGCAGGCGATGGAACCACTGAGCTAAATCCCCGGCCTTGGCTCACAGTTTGTAGAGGTTTCAGTCCATAGTTGGCAGTCTCCAAGGCAGGGTGGCATGGGAGAGGGCACTGCAGAGGAGAAACAGTTCATGGTGGGCAGAAGGTAGCAATGCAAGCAAGGGACCCTAGCAGTTTCTTTCTGCCCCTTTTATACTCTATCTAGGCTATTAGGCTAAACCAAGGGACTTATTTAGTAATCACACCCTTAGTCTCAACATCACACACTCTAGATTCAGCCATCTCTGAAAAAGTCCCACCAATGACCTCATGAGGCTTTGCGGGGACATCTGGACACAAATCATAACAGTGCTTCAAAAGTGATACACGTTCAGGATGAAATCACACTTTGAAATGCGATCTTTGCCTGGACAACAACATGCAGTGTGAGAACGCTCTTGCAATGCCAAGCAAAGGCTGTGAGCCCCACGTCCCAGACAGCCACGCGCTTACTGGGGCAAACAACTGATGCCGTGCAATGTGCCATTACCAAACCATGGTTCTCATTATGTCCAGTGTACTGACTGCTGCTTGTATGAGTGTGCTGGGTAATGAACCTTGAGCCTCATGCATGCTAAGCACTTGCTGAACCATTGCCCTCCATGGATTACCATGACGTAACCCTGTGTAAGTCAGGGGCATCTGTAGTATGGAACATTTCCTCTTTTCCCAGTGCTGGGTATCAAACACAGGGCCTCATTCACACTAGGCAAGCGCTCTAAGCGACATTCCCAAAGTCAATAATGCGATATTTTGTCTTTATGTTGACTGATATAACATTATTACATTGTTGATTTTTCAAATGTTAAACCAATCTTGCATTCCTAAAATAAATCCTGCTTGGCCATTGTGTATAATCCCCCTATGTCCCTGAATTTGGTTTGCTACTAAATTTTGTTGAGTGTTTACTTGTTTTCAGTTAATTTTTTTTCCAGTACTGGGGGTTGAACCCAGAGTCTCACACATGCTAGGCAAATGCTCTGCCTTTTTCATTTTGAGACAAGATCTAAATTGCTCAGGCTGACCTCAAACTTGCGATCCTCCTTTCTCAGCCTCCTGAGTAGCTGGCATTCCGAGTATACACTGCCATACCTGGCCACAGCCTGTGTTTTTACACAGAGTCCTAGTGTCTGTGCCAGTGAAAGATGTTCCTACAACATGCCCACATAGGCTTTCATATGGCGAAGCTGATTGCTTCTATCTGACAAGCAGTGCCATTCCTCCTCCTTCTAACTAAGCTACAGTCTTCTAAACCCTAAGTGTATGTATGTGTGGGGAGGATGGCATTTGCCCCCAGAGTGGGGAAATTGCTGTCTTAGGTGGGAGTGGGGGTTCTGAAACAAGACCTACACTAGGGCACTTGGGACCAAGGAGGACTCCTGCTCCCCACTCATACAACTCTTCCTCCTGAGAGGAGGCACAGGTGCATGACACACACAGTTCAGTCTTCAGTTTAAGTCTGTCTCTGTAGGGAGCACAGAAAAGAGGAATGAACAGCAGTGTGACAGGGGCCACAGAGCCTGACGTGCCCTTGTGAGGTCGCTGCAGGCCGGGCTGACCCTAAGTTCAGGGACTGCAGTGACATGTCACCCAGGCCCTACAGATAGAGGACATTCAGCCTCCCTAGAGGCTCCACCTATACCTGGACTGCAGCCATTCCTTGGCCTGTCCCTCTTGGCTTGTCAACGGCTGGCCCACTCTGAGGAGTGGCTCATTTCCTGGGACTGTGTGGACATGTCTTCTGCTGGAAAGGCCTGGCCATCCATAAGCATGCTCACACAAGGGAGAAGCTCTTTGCACACTGCTCCATGTTGGTCCAACAATACCACACCCACTTTGGAGACCCTCCATATGTCTGTGGGCTGTGTGGGGCTCAGTTCTGTCAGAGGGCTCACATGGCCGAGCACCAGCTGCTCCACCCAGGGAGCAAACTCTCTCCTATCCAAACTGGCTGCTGTTGCCAGTGGAATGGGGCACTGGCACTCACAGACAGACATGTGAGGGAGAAGCCACACATGTACTCAGTGTAGGCATCACTTTATAAACTCTTCCCTCTGGGGCATTCACCATGAAACCACACTAGAGAGAAGCCCCACATCTGTTCAGACTGCTCAGGGTGTTGCTTACCAGGGCTCTGCTGAGCAGTGAACGGTGGGTCCACTTTAATGAGTGCTCCTACTCCCACGCCCACTTTGTCCAGAAAATAAACTGCCCAGCACTAGCTCATCCACACAGGCACAAAACCCTTTGAGCTTCTGACTGTAGCCCCTGTTTCCACCCAAACGGCTTTTTGGCCATTTACTGGTGTGTACATACAGGGAGAAGCCCTGGGTTTGAGTACTGCTCTCTTCCTATGTCTTCACACCCACACGTACATCCATCCTGGTGAGAGGCCCTTCCTGTGTTTCCAGTGTGGGAGAACCCTTAAGTAGAAGAGCCCTGAAAGCCTAGCAATGGATCTCTCAAACAGGTGTGGCAAGTCAGAACGGCTGCAGACTTCTATCGCAACCCCAAGCCAGGCTTCTGTCCCTGAGGCCCAGAAAACCTGAGTACCCTTTGCCATTTTCCAGATGTGTTCCAGTAGTGCCAGTGACTTGAGCCAAGTAGTGTGAAGGAGCTAAAGTTTTCAGACTTTTCTCTCATGAAGTGCTGGGGAGGAGGCACTGAAAAGGAGGGGACAGGAGAGGACAGAAGGAGATCGGTCAAACTGAGGTGGTGAAGGCCAAGCCACCTCTGGTGCCTGTGAGACCTGGGGACAGACTAGAGCTGAGGGGCAGATGGCTGTCCAGGTGGAGAATCTGCCAGGGACAGCAAGAGTCTCCAACGCTCTTCCGACACTGACTGCTAGACCCTGAACTTTCAGCTCCAGGTTTCCCCCTAAATCTAGATCTCAGGGAACAAATCACAGATCCAACTTAGACCAGGAGCCATAATGTAAGAAGAATATAGGCTTTGTAGGACCGGGGATTTAGCTCAGTGGTTTCACCGCCTGCTGCACAAGCGCAAGGACCTGAGTTCGAACCCCGGTACCCCCCCAAAAAAAAGAAAAAAAGAAAAAGAATATAGGCTTTGAAACTGGCTATCCCATGTTCAGTATTCGGTCATTTGTTGTATTTAAGAAAAGACACCAAGCCCAAAGTAGGATCACTTCTGGGAAAGCTCCAGGGCAACAAACTAAAACCTAAATTGTTTACTGTAAGATTTTTATTTTTTAGAGACAGCGTCTTACTATGTCACCCAGGATGGCATCCAGCTTGAGATCTCCCTGCTTCTGCCTCCCCAGTAGCTGAGATTACAGGCATGTACTACCACATCCAGCCACTTGTGTTCTTAATTCTAGGGAGTTGTGATAAAGGACAGTTCAGGAAAAACCTGAGTATTTCCCAGCCGCTGAAAATACTGTCCACCAAGTCCATTGATGGCTGGTGGATGGCTGCTCTCACGAGCATTAACACATGGACCAAGCATGCTGGGTAAACCACAGGTAGAGAGCTGCAGGTGTTTGCAGAAAGAAGCCTTCAGGAACAGGGGAAAAATGTAAAGGGACCTGGTTGGTACACCAAGAGCAGGTATAGCCATAATGGTGAAACATGGGTACTTTGCCTCTCCTATTCCATGTGCCTAGCTAGTACTGTGCTTCAAACGCTGAACAAATGTTATATAAAAATAGTGTGTGAAAATTATGCAGAAGATTGAACCTGAGAACAAGAGTTCAGGTGGCTTCCTGAGTAAGCAAGCAAAATAGAATAGTGCAAGGGAATGGTGTTAATGCTGGGGTGTGGTGCCACATGCCTGTAATCCCAGCACTTGGGAGGGTGAGGCAAAAGGATTGCTGTGAGTTCGAGACCAGCCTGGGCTACACAGTAATTCAAGGTCAGCTCGAAGTACATATTGAGGCCCCATTTCAAAAAGCAAACAAACAGGGGCAGGGATTTAGCTCAGTGGTGCCACTGCCTGCCTCACAAGCGCAAGGTGCTGAGTTCCACCCCTGGTACCAAAAAAAAAAAAGCAAACAACCCTCCCCGAAAGAACCAACCCACCCCCCAAAAAACCCCAAAGGAACAGTGCCTAGCACAGTGGTATGAATAAAGGCCCTTTCCTTGTCATCCCCAAGTTTAAACCTTTGCACCTTCTCCTCACTAATGTTATGACCCTGGAAACCCATGGAATTCCTGAGATCATTTCAGTAAACGCAGTGATTGCCATGAGCTCACAAATGGTAGCTAAGAGTGAAGAAGAGGAAATATGCAATATATTGGGCTTGGTGTCTGCCTCTAGGAAATATTAACGTTACTGCCCACTCCTTTATCCCTACTATTAGGGAGGCTGATACAAGAAGATCCCAAGTTGGGAGGCCAGACTGGGCAACTTGGCGAGATCCCATTTCAAAAGCAAAGCAAAGCAAAACACAGCACAACACAACACAACACACCACAACAAGAGAGAGGGAGCTCAGTGGTACAGCACTTGGCCAGCATGTGCGGGGCCTAGGGTTCAATCCTCAGTATGGTGATGGTGGGGGCAGGACCAGGACTACGACGACGACAGTTAACTATTCAAAGCAAAGGATCTCTGAAGTTAGGAGGGGGGAAACCCCCCAAAATACCCAAGGTAATCTCAGCCCCGGGTTGGCCACAGTAGCTGTGGTTCAAATCTTTTCCTCCTTCAAAGAGAGGCTGAGTCAGCCAACAGAGAACTATACAAAACAAGCAGAGACTCTGATCACGGACCTCCACAACCCGCTTTGGAAATCACCTTGGTCGTCCGATAGTGAGGGTCAGCTTCCTGCCCTTACGCATCCGTTGACTTCTTTCAAATAGACCGCCTTCGCTCATACCCAATCAGAATGCTCGATATTTAGCCATTAGCCAATGGGCGAGAAGAATAGGGAGGGGGAAAAAAGAGGGCGTGAAGCCTAACCAAGGCGCCATTACACTTCAGGGCAAAGGGGTTAGGAAGCCGGCATGGCGCTCGGGTCAATAAAATCGATAGCTGGAAACTGCCTGTGTTTTAGGCAAAGGCGGTGCGATAGCAGCGCCGCCATTTTCCCCAAAGGCATCTTCCAGTGTCTCTCACCCAAGTTCGGGCAAGTTTTATGAATAACAGCGAGGTTTCTGTTAGCCCCGCAGGCGGCTGCCTCCGATCCCCTCCAGGGCTCCCAGCCACGCTCGGCCTGGGCCGGCGGGGGTTCCTTAATCTCGGGGTCCAATGGCGCCGCCTTCGGCCCCACTCCCCGCCCAGGGACCAGGCCAGGCCGGACCCAGCCGGAGAAGGGGAACAAGGCCAAGGGCCTTGAAGTTCGCGGACGTGGCTGTGTACTTCTCCCCGGAGGAGTGGGGCTGTTTGCGGCCGGCGCAGAGGACCCTGTACCGGGACGTGATGCGCGAGACCTACGGCCTCCTGGGCGCGCTCGGTGAGGTCCTGCCCAAATCTGCTTCCGCGGGGCCAGAGGGATGGTGGAGCTTGAGGCGGGTGGAGGAAGGCAGGGAGTCCAGGTCGTGGCCTGGGACCAGGTTACGTCCGGGGAGGAGGGCAAGGGCCCAGCGAAAGAAGCCGTACCCGGCATTATCCAGGGACCGGGCCTCTGACTGGTTCTCCTTCCCCAGGGTGCGCAGGTCCCAAACCAGCCCTCATCTCCTGGTTGGAACGAAGTACTGATGATTGGGAACCGGCTGCCCTAGATCCGCAGGAGTACCCGAGAGGGGTAACAGTCCAGAGAAGTGAGTGAAAATGCCCATGGAGAGCCTGCAGCTCTCCTATAACTTCCTGACCTCTAATGACTCAGTCCAGAATTTTGGTCTGGACTTGTTCTGCCTATGACCTTTTGCTATGCTGCTGCTGCACTGTTCATTTTCAGTTTCTGATGGTGTGGGGTCGTTCACCATCCAGATGTTCCCCAATGGATGTGCAGACTGGCGGCCCGCAAGTACTTCATCGTGTAAATGAACCCGTGAGCGTTAGTTAATAGCCACCCTCCTGGCTGCTTCCCCAGATCCCTGCTCCAGCCTCCTTTGAATTGGCCCCTTGCTTAGAGAACCTGAATTTCTCCGTTTCTGGGTTTTGGTTGAGATGGCTTATAGGGAACACTGTTGGGGTGCAGGGGCCTCTCTGCTCTTATGACAGGATGACCCTCACCACTGATGAACATACAGCATCATCCTCTGGACCAAGCAAGGCTCTGGTTCAGGCCATTTAGGTAGAAAGGCCCCAGATCTACCCATAGGGGCCGATGGCATCATCTGGCTGGAGTTTCTGTGTCACATTCTCAAAGCCCAGGAACGCCTCTAAGATTCAAACTTGATCATAATTCCTTGCTTAAAAACTTTGAACCCAGGCGTGGTGGCACCCCCTTGTAATCATATCTTCTTGGTTTTTTGTGTGTTGTTTTTGGTACTGGGGATCAGACTCACGACCTTGTGCTTGTGAGGTAGGTGCAGTGCCACTGAGCTAAATCCCTAGCCTCAATCATATCTACTTGGGAATTTGAGACAGGAGGATTGGAAGTTCGTCAGCCTGGGTAACTTAGCAAGACTCTTGTCTCAAAATAAAAAATAAAAAGGGCTGGGGATATAGTATCCTAGGGTTGATCCCTAGTACCACAACAAAATAAAACAACCTTTCAGTTTTTGCCCTTGTTTTCAAATGGCTGTTATATGTAAGTCGTTTGGAGAATGTGGTAAAAGTACAGATACTGGGATCCCATCCCAGAACTTCTGATTCAGAGTCACTCTTAGGGATGTCTACGAACTTGGGTATCTTTTTTAATAGCCCCATTTGATTTGGATGTGCATCTGGGTTTGGGAACCATCGGATAAAATGTGGCCCAAGGTCCTTAACAAATGCTTTCAGAAGTGGTTCTAGGGCTGGGGATTTAGCATGGTGCCACCTGCCTCGAAAGCGCTTGCCTTGTGAGCTCAAGGTCCCAAGTTTGATCCCCAGCACCAAAAAAAATAAAAGTGGTTCTAAAAGTGTGGTCCCAAACCACCAGCAGCACGACTTGGAAATTTGATAGAAATATAAATTCTAGTGCTGGGTGTGATGGTGCACACTTGTTATCCCTGCACTTGGGAGGCTGAGGCAAGAGGATTGCCATGAGTTGCAAGCCAGCCTGGGCTACATAGTGAGTTCAAGGCCAGCCTGAACTACAGAATGAGACCCTGTCTCAAATAACAAGGAAAAAAGAAAGAAAGATGGGTTGATTTCTTGGATACCATCCTAGACCTGCTGAACCCCAAACTGGAAGAAGGGCCCAGAGTCAGTTTCAGTAAGTCTTCCAAATGATTCTGATCAAAATAAAGTTTGAGATCTCAGACCTCATTTGTTTCCACTTTTGCCTTAGTTTTAATTTAAGATCTTACACCCCATGCACACTGCACACAGGCCCTTGGCATATGTGGTGCCACAGCAAGCACATCCACATGTGGCCTAGGGACTTTTCCTTTTGGTACCCAGGATCGAACTCCAGACCTTGTGAGGCAGGTGACGGAACCACTGAGCTAAATCCCCGGCCCTCAAACTTGCAATCCTCTTGCCTCAACCTCCCTCAGTGCTGGGGTTACAGGCATGCACCATTGCTCCAAGGTGTTTGTTTTCGGTACTGGGGATTTAACTCTGGGCCTCACACATGCTAGGCAAGTGTTCTATCACTGAGTTATATGCTAGCCCTTTTTATTTTAAGACAGGGTCTTGCTAAATCACCCAGGCTAGCTTTGAACTTAGCCCTCCTGCCTTCTCCCAAGTAGCTGGGAATACAGGCCTGGGCCCTTGCTCCTGGCCAGTTGTTTGTAAAATCAGCTTAATCTCCAAGAAATCTGCCCTGACCTCCAAGCCCGTGTAAGGGCTCCTGTAATATTCTCCACATTGCCGTAATGTCATACTTAGCTTTAGCTGTCTCTGGCATTGACAGTTGAAGTCAGAGGGTGCACATAAGAGGCAAGAATTGGAGCCTAGTAATTGTTAAATTAATTTCTCCCTGTGTTCCTGTAGAAAACAGAACCAGAAAGAAAAGTGGGGAGAAGGAAGCATTCTCACCTAAGGAAGCACCCCGAAAGGGGAAGCGTGGGCGGAGGCCCAGCAAACCCCGGCTGATCCCTAGGCAGACGTCTGGTGGCACCATCTGCCCTGACTGTGGCTGTACCTTTCCTGATCATCCGGCCCTGGAGAGCCACAAGTGTGCCCAGAATCTGAAGAAACCCTACCCTTGCCCGGACTGTGGGCGCCGATTTTCTTACCCATCCTTGCTGGTTAGTCATCGACGGGCACACTCCGGTGAGTGCCCCTATGTCTGTGACCAGTGTGGCAAACGCTTCTCCCAGCGCAAGAACCTTTCTCAGCACCAGGTGATCCACACGGGAGAGAAGCCCTACCACTGCCCAGACTGCGGCCGCTGTTTCCGCAGGAGCCGGTCCTTGGCCAATCACCGGACCACACACACGGGCGAGAAGCCCCACCAGTGCACCAGCTGTGGGCGCCGCTTTGCCTACCCCTCCCTGTTGGCCATCCACCAGCGCACGCACACGGGAGAGAAGCCCTACACCTGTGTGGAGTGCAGCCGCCGCTTCCGCCAGCGCACAGCCCTGGTCATCCACCAGCGCATCCACACGGGTGAGAAGCCCTACCCGTGTCCAGACTGCGAGCGGCGCTTCTCCTCGTCCTCCCGCCTGGTCAGCCACCGGCGCGTGCACTCTGGGGAGCGCCCCTATGCCTGCGAGCACTGTGAAGCCAGATTCTCCCAGCGCAGCACGCTGCTCCAGCACCAGCTCCTGCACACAGGCGAGAAGCCCTATCCCTGCCCCGATTGTGGGCGTGCCTTCCGGCGGAGCGGTTCCCTCGCCATCCATCGTAGCACGCACACTGAGGAGAAGCTGCATGCCTGTGAGGACTGTGGCCGTCGCTTTGCCTACCCCTCGCTGCTGGCCAGCCACCGGCGCGTGCACTCCGGCGAGCGGCCCTATGCCTGTGACCTTTGCTCCAAGCGCTTTGCCCAGTGGAGCCACCTGGCTCAGCACCAGCTCCTGCACACTGGGGAGAAGCCCTTCCCCTGCCTTGAGTGCGGCAGATGCTTCCGCCAGAGGTGGTCTCTGGCAGTCCACAAGTGTAGCCCCAAGGGCCCAAGCTGTAACACTAGATCTACTCCAGGGGGTGCTAGCCACAGGGGCAACACCCCTTAGAAAGGGAGGAATTAAGTTTCTTTCCATTCGTGGAGGGGTCCAGGAAAGGGAAGGGGCCACCTGGGTCATACAGCCACAGAGTGTGAACTAAAACCCAGGTCTCCTGTCCACACACGTCCTTAGTATGTTCCACCACACTGACTGCCTTACTGTACGTGTCTAGAGTAGTCCCAGCAGGAGAGGTGACATCATTTGGTTAGTTTTCCAAGCTATCCTACCTTAAAATAATTTATGTGTGTGGGTACCAGGGCTAAAAGTTCTCCCCACCATTTTAAGAGCTACTACTTTTCTGGTTTGTGCATAGGAGGGTTACCCATCTCCTTGCATGCAATCAGGAAAATCTCATTGTAGGGGGCAGGGCCTTCTACTCTTGGGCTCTTCCTCCATACCAACCTGAAAAACACCTGGTTTACTCCACTTTTTACAACATTCCCGCCAAGTGATCTACTGTTTGCTTGAAAACATCCCTTGACGGGGAGCTCACCACTTCACAATGCAGGTCATATCATTTGTGGGACAGTGCTGATCTTTAACAGGTTAAGTACCATATTCTCATTCTCTGTAAACCTGACCTAGGGCCGGGGATGTAGCTCAGTGGCACCACCCCTGCCTCACAAGTGCAAGGTCCTGAGTTCAATCCCTGGCACCAAAAATAAATAAAATCTCACAAATCTTGGCCTAGAATATGTTTAATACTTCATCTATGTGGCTGCCTTTCAAATAACTTAATCACAGCTACTTTGCCCTCAAGTTTTCTTGGATAAATAGCATTAATTTGGTCAGTCTTTTCTTTTTTGAGACAGCATGCCTAAAGTGGTCTTGATAGGTTCAAGCAAACCTGCCTTAGCCTCCAAAATAGTTGGGACTAGGTGTGCAGCACACCGGGCTCTGGTCAGTCACTCTAAAGATAAGATTTCAGTTCCCACACATGAGCTCTCTCCAACAGCCACTGCTTTTTTATCACCCTTTTAGAGGGTGATAGAAAATAAGGCAGCACCCAGTGCATATGCTGTACCCCTTCCTTGTCTGCCCTTAACAACTCTGGATTACACTGGTTTGGGGGGTAGCTGTACTGTACCAGGGGTTTACTGGATTCCAGACACCTAAATGCCCTTTTTTTTGGTACCGGGGATTGAACTCGGGACCTTGTGCTTTTGAAGCAGGCACGAGAACCACTGAGCTAAATCCCTGGCCCCCTAACATTTTTAAAAAGTGACATGTGATAAAGTTATGTCTTCACCCTGTGTTTGGAAAATTGGTTCAAGATGAGTATGAGACATAAGCACAGTAAACGCTGAGAGAAGATGGATTGTAAGGAAAAGCAGGGGACCTGCAGTCTAGCAGCAAAATGTAAAAATGGGATGGGCTTATTGTACTTCATTAGATGGACTTCAACTGATTTCAGGTGTTTAGTGGCTGGAGAATCCTTGAGAACTGGGTCTTACTCCTCCCTGTTCTCATCAAAATAAAGCAGAATCAGCACAGAAACTTCTATGAGGCCTCAGTCAACTTTTTCATAAACTAAAGTGAGGCCATTCAAGTTGGGCAGAAAGGTAATTGAATACAAAGAAGAGTCTCATCAAACTGTCCATGCCTTCTTTTCTTGAAATCTCCAAAGGGGCCACCACAGCAGTGTCTTAATTGTTGATAGGCCTCCCTGGCATATCAGGCCACCCGAGTTGGTGGTGATCAGTAAAGCTTAACTGAACTAAGAGTGAACAGGGCCTGCCACTTTGCCTTGGGCAGTGGCACCAAATTAGAATTTCCAAACATCATTTATCTCATATTCCAACAGCTGGAGTGGGTGACCCTAACCTAGTTGCTGCTTTTTACAGCTCTCCTGATCTCAGCCCCAGAGTGGAGAAGTAGCTAGGGAACAGCATTTTGTAATGACCTCTGTTCAGGTATTTAGCAAGGTGCATTTAACTCTGTCTGTTTCCCCTTGGATGATGAGCTACTCCTCAAGCAGAGGTACTACTGGATTGAGCCTCATTAAAATGTCTGATGAATTATGTTTCTTGCAGAATTACTGTTTACATAATGTAAATCTAATTCTATGACTTGGAAGAAATTCACTGTTACAATGGAGACCCAGCCCTCATAACAGCAGACTGCCTTACCATACCAGAGAGCTCAGTGGATGTCTGCCGAGCACCCTATTAATACCAGTTCTCTCCCTACCCATTAGCACCAGGCCAGCCTCATAATTCCTCATGTTATAATTCTATGACTTTCTCTGGGCCTGCATTGCAACCCATAAAATGGAAGCCACTGGTGGCTAAATTCCATCATGTGGTCTAAGGAGAGCAAAGATGAGAAGTAATTTCCTAGGCTCCCTAAGGCAGTCCAGCCCAGCATGCTTTGTAGCAGTGATCCTGGCCCTGCATTCAGAGAGATCCCAGCATCTGTCCAATAAATTCCTCTTCCTGCTTACCATGGTTTGAGTCGCTCTCACAAGCAGAATAATTAATGCACATTGGGCCGGGGATTTAGCTCAGTGGTTCTGGCGCCTGCCTCGCAAGCACAAGGTCCTGAGTTCGATCTCCGGTACCAAAAAAAAAAACAACCACACAGCCCCATCTGCCTTCGTGCTCTGCTGTTGAGAGATGCTACCATTTCTTTCTTTTTTTTTTTTTGGTACCGCGGATCAAACTTGGGACCTTGCACTTGCAAGGCAGGTGCTGAAACCACTGAGCTAAATACCCGGCCCTAACCATTTCTTTCTTGATCTCTAACCTCAGTTGGTCTTCTTGTACTTGTGTCTTCCAGTTTCCTTATCCAGTAAGGATCACCTTGTTCACTAAAAGAATAAAAGGTGTTAGGAGTTCCTTTAACATTCTACTCCCCATCCTGACTCCAAATTTACCGGTGACTACTCATCCAATTTATTTGCTTCTTCCCATCTTAGAAGTGGTGGGAACACTGCACTGTAGATCACTATGGCCAGGCTGAACTGGCCTCCTCTCTCAGATGAGGCAGGGCCCTGTGGGGAACGAGGAACACGCATCTTCGCTTGCTTCCTCCCGCAGATGGGGCAGGGTCCCATGGGAGGAGAACAGGTGACAAGAGAGCGTGGTGGAGCAAGGCCTGGCTGAGAAGAGGACTGTCTTCCTCCCTGCCCATTCCCCAGAAAACCAAGCATGACAGACATCCTGCGGACCTTGGCTGCTCTCCTGGCTCTGGTTACAGCCCAGCCCCTTTGACCTCCCCCTGCACTTCCCTTATCTCTACCACTATAAATAAACAAGCTGCAGTTGCTTGGGGTCTTTTTCTCCATCAGGAGTTAGAGCCCCACTTGGCCCCACTTTCTATCTCTGTCTTTTCTTAATCTCCCATGGTCATTTCTTACTCTGGGGACCCTTCAGTCACACGGGCTGTGGCAGTCCCTCATATGCAATGCACATCAACATAGCTATGCCTGGATTTTGCCCACTTCTGGCCCCTCAAGGACTGCTCCATCTTATTTCTTCTCTCACCTCTTTTAGATTTGTTTTCAGAGTCACTTTCATTCAAAACACACACCTTCTAGCCAATAAATTGCCGAAGATCTGTCTTTAAAATGAAAATTTTAAGGCCTGGGGATCTAGCTCAATGGTTTCACTGCCTGCTGCGGAAGCGCAAGGACCCGAGTTCAATCCCCGGTACCAAAAAAAAAAAAAAAAGTAGAAAAAAAAAATGAAAATTTTAAGAAGCCAGATATTGTGGCATATACCTGCAGTCCCAGGACTCTGGGGAGACTGAGGCAAGATCTCAAATTGAAGCCCAACCTGAGAACTTAGTGACTTAGTGATGCCCTGTCTTTTAGATATACATAATAATCACATTCATCATAGGGAATTTGCACCTGTATATGATACATTTTGCTTTTTTCCAATTCTCCTTTTCTCCCTTCAACCTATCTTCCCCTCCTTGTTTACAAAAGCTTTGTTTCCTTTTTTTTCCTTGTCCCTTCTTTCACCCCCATCCTGATCCTCTTCTCCTTTGAACATTTTCCTCCCATTTCCCAGTATCTATTATACATTTGGTCCTTATTTCAACTTTAGGTTTCTCACACCAGAGAAACAATACAGTATTTAAACATGTATCTCTGATTTATTTCACTTAAGAGTATAGTCTCAAGGTGCATCCATTTAACTAGAAATGTCTCAAGCTTATCCTTCATAACAGCAGAGTAGTACTCCATTGTATAAAAACCACACCTTGGGCTGGGGATTTAGCTCAGCAGTTTTGCCACCTGCCTCAAAATCGCAAGGTCCTGATTTCCAACCCTGGTACAAAAAACAAAACCAAAACCCACATTTTTATCCATTCACCATATAATGGGCATGTGGGCTGTTTCCAGGACTTAGCTATTACAAACTGCCAGTGCAAACATGGTTGTGCATATATTGCTATGTATGATGCTTTTCTTTCAGGAAGATATCAAGAACAGGGAAAGCTGGGTCAAATGGAACTTCTAGTTTTAGGTTTTTGAGGAATTTCCACATTGATTTCGATAGTGGCCGCACCAGTCTGCACTCCCACTGACAGTAGAGAAGGGTTCCTTTCTCCCCACAGCCCTGACAGCATTTGTTATTGGCTGATTTCTTGACAATGGCCATTCTTTCAGGAGGAGGAATCTCAGTGCTCTTTCAATTTGCATCTCTTGAATGACCTGTGATGTTGAAGATTTTTTCATATATTTTTTGCCATTTCTACTTCTTCAATTGAGCAGTGTCCATTTTGTGCCCATTTTTGGATTGGGTCTATAAATTGGGGGGGGTCTATTGTTTTTGAGGTTAGTATATTCTAGATAGTCCTTTGAGGAACAGCTGGCATAAACTTTTTCCCACTCTATGGGTTGTCTCTTTACTCTGTTGGTGGTTTCTCTTGCTGTGCAAAAGCTTTTGTTTTTTTGTGTGTGTGTGTGGTACTGGGGATCAAACCCAGGTCCTTGCACTTGCGAGGCAGGCAGTGGAACCAATGAACTAAATCCCCAGACCTGTGCAAAAGCTTTTTAATGAGATCCCAGTTGTTGATTCTTTGTGATATTTCCTGTGCAATCAGTGTTTTGTTCATAAAGTCTTTGCTTATACCAATGTTTTTAAGAGTTCTACCTATTCTATTTTCCAGCAGATTTAGTGTTTCTGTTTTAAAATTTAGATCTTTGATCCATTTTAATTTTAGTTTAGTGTATGGTGAGAGATATGAGTCTAGTTTTAGTCTTCGGCACATGGAAAGCCAGTGTTTCCAGCACAATATATTAAAGAAGCTACCTTTTTTCCAGTGAAGGTATTTGGCTCCTTTGTCAAAGATAGGATGTCTCAGTATGTTTGGAGTTGTTAGCGCCTCTTATAATCTGTTCCACTGATCCTCTGGTCTGTTATTTTGCCAGTACCATGCTGTTTTTATCACAGTAGCTTTGTAGCATAGTTTCAAGTCAGGGATTATGATGCTCCCTGCCTTGCCTTTGTTGTCCAGAATTGCTTTTACTATTCTAAGTCTCTTCTGGTTCCAAATAAATTTTAGGATTGTTTTCTGTAATTCTGTGAGATATGCTAATTTTGGTTGGGATTGCATTAAATCTGTATAACAATTTTGGAAATATGGCCAGTATTGTTCTTCCTACCCAAAAACAAAGGGTATCTTTCCATTTTCTAATATCCTCTTCAATCTTTTTCAGATTACTATAGTTTTCAATGTAGAGGTGTTTTACTTCCATTGTTAGATTGATTCCTAGGTATTTCATTGTTTTGAATGCTATTGTGAAATGTGTTGTTTCCCTAATTTCTCTCTCAGTGAGTTTGGTATTTCTGTACAGGAATGCTATTGATTTTTGACTGTTGATTATGCCTCAACTATGCTACTGAATTTTGTTATTAAATCTAGTAGTCTTTTCATGGAGTTTTTGGGGTCTTCTATGCAGAGTATCATGTCATTCACAAATAAAGATAATTTAACTTCTCTTCCTATCCTTATTTCTTTCTCTTGTCTAATTGCTCTGGCTAATATTTCCAGAACTATATTGAATAAGAGTGGTGACACTGGAGATTTTTGTCTTGTTCCTAATTTTAGTGAAAGCCTTCAGCTTTTGTCCATTCAGTATGTTGACTGTTGGTTTGTCATAGATGGCTTTTATCAGATTGAGATAAAGACCATCTATTCCAATTTTCTGTAGGTTTATCATGAATGGGTATTTGGCTTTGTCAAATGCTTTTTCTGCATCTATTGAGATGATCATATGGTTTTTGTCCTTGGCTCTGTTAATATGGTGTACTGCATTTATAGATTGGCACATGCTGAACCATCTCTGAATCCCTGAGATGAATCCTACTTGGTCATGATGTACAAACCTTCTGGATGATTTGCTGCATTCTGTTTATCACTATCTTATTGAAGATTTTTGCATCTATGTTCATTAGGAAGATTGGTCTGTGTTCTCTTTTGGTTGGATCCTTCTCTGGTTTTGGTATCAGGGTAATGCTTGCTTCTAGGAATGAATTTGGGTATATTGCTTCCCTTTCAATTCATTAAGGAGTTTGAGAAGTAGCGTCATTAGGTCTTCTCTAAACTTCTTTTTCTTTTTTTTTTTTTGGTACCAGGGATCAAACTTGGGTCCTTGCGCTTGCAGGGCAGGCAGCAGAACCACTGAGCTAAATCCCCAGCCCTTCTCTAAACTTCTTATAGAATTCAGCAGTGAATCCATCAGGGACTGGGCTTTTTCTTTGTTGGTAGGTTTTTTTGTTGGTACTGGGGATTTAACTCAGGACCTCAGGACCTTGCACTTGGGAAGCAGGTGCGGCGCCACTTAGCTAAATCACCAGCCCTGTTGGTAGGTTTTTAATTTCACTGACTGATACTGGTTTATTTAGAATTTATCTTCTTCTTGATTCAGCTTTGATAATTCATATGTATCTAGGAATCTATCCATTTCTTGGATGATTTTTTGTTTTTTGGTCTAGTTGACCTATTTGTGACAGTGGGGTATTGAGGTTCCCTATTACAATTGTGTTAGTGCTTATTTGATTTTTTT